ATGCCTACCTCACCCCAAATCTTGGTGTTGTCTGCGAATTTAAACAGGCTGCTCTTCACCCCATCGTCCAAATCACTAATAAAGAAATTGAATGGTGCGGGGCCCAAGGACTGAGCCCTGGGGGACCCCACTGCCCACTTCCCTCCAGGTCAAATATGACCCATCCACCACCAGTCTCTGAGTACAACCCCTTTGCCAATTTGTAATCTGTCTGACTGTATACGCATCAATGCCAGTCGCCTAGCTTTTTAATGAGAATGGGGTGGGAGACAGTGTCAAAGGCCTTCCTGAAGTCGAGAAAGACTACATCCACCGTGAGACCTGCATCCAGTGATTTTGTGACCTGATCGTAGAAGGCAATGAGGTTCGTCTGACAGGACCTGCCCCTAATGAAACCGTGCTGGTTGCCCTTGAGCATCATCCCCACTGCTGGCCATCACAGATGTGCTCCTTGATAATCTTCTCAAAGAGCTTCCCCAGGACTGAAGTAAGACTAACGTGCCTATAATTGCCCGGGTCCTCCCTCTTCCCTCTTTTAAAGATGGGGACTACATTGGCCTTCCTCCCGTCGTCTGGCACTTGGCCAGAGCACCACGAGTGCTCGTAAAGCCGTGCCAGGGGCCCCGCAATAACCCCTGCCAATTCCCTCAACACCCTGGGGTGGAGAGCATCTGGACCTGCTGATTTGAACGTGTCCAGCTCCTCCAGAAGTTCTCTAACTCGGTCCTCCCTGACCCTAGGCCTGGTGGAGTTTCTCCTGAGTCCATCCTGAATCTCGGTAAGGGAGTCCTGGTACCTGCACAAGAAAATAGAGGCAAAGAAATTGTTAAAGAGGTCTGCTTTCTCCTTTGGTGCAACCACCAGATTGCTGAGCATATCCTGCAGGGGCCCCACATTATCCGGGGCCTTCTTCATGCTCCCTATGTATTTAAAAAAGGGCTTTTTTTGATCCTTGATGCTAGCCCTAGTTCTGTATCTCCCTTAGCTTTTCTAACAGCCCCCCTACAGACCCGAGCGGTGGAGGTATACTCCTCTTTGGTGATAGCCCCTCCCTTCCACTGGGTGTACACCTTGTTTTTGGCAATCAGGCATTCATGAATGCCCCTGGTGAGCCAGGGGGGCTTTTGGGCACTCTTGCCCCCTTTGCTTCTTGTTGGGATTGTCACCCCTTGGGCTCTGAGTATCGTCTCCTTAAGGAACGATCACTCATCTTGGGCACCCAGTTCCCCTACTCTCCAGGACCCCAGTGCCTCCCCCACTAATCTCCTCAGCTCATTGAAGTTGGCCCTCTTAAAGTCTAAGGCTACTGCCTTGCTGCAGGCCCTTGACACCCTGCGCTGGATGGTAAATTCCAGCAAGCGATGATTGCTATCACCCAGGTGGTTGGGGACCTGGAGTCCCCTCACCAGGTCATCGCCTGTGGCCAGGACCAGGTCCAGCAGGGCAATTCCCCTGGTGGGACTGCATCTCCTGGGTTAAGTGGAGGTCCTGTATTTCAGCAAGGGACCTCCGTGAGCGGTCAGACCTGGCTGACTGTTCCTCCCAGCAGATATCTGGGTAATTTAGATCGCCCATGACAACTACATCCCTTGCCTTAAGTGCCTGTGCAAACTGACCCGAGAATTTGTCATCCATCTCCTCCCCTTGGTTGGGAGGTCTGTAGTAGACCCCCACCATTAAGTCCCTTTCCCCACAACCCCCCTGTATCCTGACCCAGAGCTCTTCAGCTTGGTCCTCCTCTGGCCCCATCCTGCTAGTTGAGGATGTGTATTGCTCTTTGACATAGAGCGCCACACCCCCGCCTTTCCTCCCTGTTCTGTCCCACCTGTATAGTCTGTAGCCCCTAATGTTAACCGCCCAGTCATGGGATGAATCCCACCAGGTTTCTGTGAGCCCTACTATGTCTGGGTTTGAACTAGGTATCCAGAGGGTGAGTTCCTCCTGCTTATTCCCCATACTACAAGCATTGGTGTAGAGGCATTTAAGGCCTTGAATTGGTGCGTATGCTACCCCCCGATTCTCAGGACTATCTGGACCCCTGCTGCTTACCTGGGTCTTTCTGGAAGATTATATTTCAGTCAAACACAAGTCGCTGGTCTCAACGCAGGGCTGAGTGAGTGATGTTTTAATGGCCTGTGATATGCTAAGGCCAGGACAGATCATCTAACAGTATCATCTGACCTTAAACTGTGAATTGTGGTAGTGACTTCTGTGAATCCTGCTGTTAAAGGATCTTTGACAGTGGCTGAGCAACAACCTTGATGAAATCTTTCTTAAGCTGCTGCTCAAGGAACTCGTGAGATTGGCAGAATACAGTTTTGGTCTTTCAACATTCTGGGGTTCCCCCCCAAAGGGGAGGTCGGGCAGCTGTGGAGATGTTCCTGGGATTTTGTTAATGTCTTCCAACCCTACCAGCTCTCCAGTTAGGGTTGTGAGGGACTCGTAGGGATGAGACCAATTCCAGGCACCTGCTCATGAGAAGCTTGGGGTGCCATGCACAAATTAACAACATGCAACAGAATAAACACCAGACAAAAAAGAAGCTAGATCAATCTGGAGTCAGATCACCTTAATTTAAAAGATCTTGCCATAGAAGAGAACTAGGGAGACACTTAGAGTGATGCAAAGAGGCATCTGTGGTGAAGGCGTTATCCTGTACTTACTGTCTTCTTTAGGAATAGCCATTTGTAATTTAAGTGACTGGGCTTTTCTTTGCAGTACAACTCAAAATCACTTCATAGCTGGACCAGTGGGAGCTGGTTCCTAGTAAATAAGTGAGTTAAAAAATTTACTTAACTACGAGAAACATAACAGTATGTCTGGCATGTAATGATCCCTGAAACTCTGCCTTAATGAGACCAAAAACAATTGTATTATTCAAAAGTAAACATTTGTGAAGAGACGTTCAATTCCTAGACTGCATGGTACAAATATTACAGTATTTGAATATCAACAGATTGAATATCAAATCGGTACAGCACTCTCCAGGTTTTGGGGTTTTTTTCTTGTTTTTGGTATTTTATTTTAGATACTTACCATTATCACTTACTCTCACCTACATTTTTAAAATAAGGAGCTTTCCAGATTGTCGGAGAAATAACTGGAATGTTTTTTTTAACAAAATGCATGTGAAGGAGTTGGTGGGATGTGTATCTCTGAATGAAGAACGTATCGAGGGAGGGTACAAGCTGAGAGAGTGAGTTTCATTTTGAACAAAGTGAGGTGTGTGGTCATGCTCATCTGCTAAGGAAGACTCATGAAATTCTGTGCCCTGTGTTATGTGTGGGGATCTACTGAAATCACAATTTTGTGATTTTCATGGAAACTGTGATTTCAGGCTGGCTTCATGAAAAAGCACGGGCTCTGTGCTTTTGGTGGGTTCCCTGAAAGAAGAAAACTTGCCAAAAATAAAATGCTGCCTCCCTCTGGGGAGCCAAGAGTCCTTCTGGCCACTGCAGCCAGGGAAGGGAAGAGTGGGGCTGCTGGCCCAGCAGGACAGCTGCTGCCCCTCGCTGCTGATTGGCTATGAGGGCTGCCCATCATATGACCCTGCCCCTCCCCCAGATGATGGCAAGGGGCATCATGACGAACCGCTCTCAGAGCCAATTAGCGGTGAGGAGCAGGACCACTGGGGGCCCTCAGTCAGTCAGAGGCATGGTGGAGGGGCTGCTGTGCTTGGCCCGCAAACATGGTTGCCGGCCCCGTGATCTATACGCGAAATGGGCCGGCAGCCACCTTGACTTCAGCAGACTCCTAGTCGGGTAGAGAAGCAAAATGGTTCTATCTGGTTTTGAAATCTGCAAATCTACCCGAATCTGAGAGCCTGCCTCCTGCATTCTTGAGCTCCCCTGTTATTAAATGTCGATCGCATTGTTCCTGTGGTGTGTAGGCGGGGAGGGGGAGTCCTTGTGGCTGGGAAGATGGACTGTATTGCAAACTGGGGTGGAGAGCGAGTGAGGATCACTGAGGTGTCTTGTACTTGGAGACACAGGCTGCTGTGCTTTGTACCAGCTGGAGCTATTTCATTGAGAGGGGATAAATCCTCATATGCAGGGAGCTGCCTGTAATGAGTATCTGCTATTTTCAGAGAGTTTTAGCCAATGTTGTAGGTGAAATTCTTCAGACTTTTGTTTCCTACTCTTTTGACATGATGGAATCATAGGCAAATAGGGCCGGAAGGGACCTCTGGAGATTATCTGGTCCACCCCCCTGCCTGAGGCAGGATCATGCCTATCCAGACAACCCAGACAATTCCTTGTCTAGCCTCTTACGGAAACTTCACAATCAACCCTGTCCCACAGCCAACTTGACATAAGCAAAGCAGGAGGACAACAGTGGTCAGTTTATAAAGTTGTATAAAAGAATTGCAGAATACAGGCAAGAAAGGTAACAATAATATGAAATATGTATCCTTCATAGTAAGCTTGCCTTAGCTGATGATGAAACCATAGTCCTTTGTATTCAATAACTACTGTTTTCAGGAAAAGCAATTCAGAGGGTGTTTGGGAGATGGGTTCTGTCTAAATTCAGGGAGGGATTGATGCAATTTCTGGTGTGCAAAGGGCGGCAAAAGCATGCATCCATTTGTAAAGTTGATACCTGTAAAAGTTAAGAATAGTCAGCGGTATTCATCAGTTACTGGAATAAGGTAAATGATACGCAGTATTGTGCATTTTTCATGGGGCACAGCGTGATCTTGACAACGAGTTCTTTCAGGGCTATTCCTAAATGCTAGACAGCTGTTATGCAGTCACTCCAGAAGTGTTATGGGCTAGAGGAAATTGCAGATAAGGTTTTGTGAAACTAGAGGTTGTATACCTTCTATGAGCCAGCAAGTGTGGACTTAGAGCACTTCCATTTAACAGTGCTTATATTATGTGAGAAGTTTTTCTCTGAGAAAATACTTCCTAACCTGAGGGTGTGGTGTTAAAAACAGAAAAAAAAGTAAGTTTGCATGAGAGCCGTTGTGTAACATTGGAGATCATGTTGTTTGATTGCAGGAGCTGTCTACATTTGTACAGAAGATGTTTTCCCAAATAAACGTTTGCAGCAACTGGTTGATCAACAACACAAACTGAGAGCAGAGGTTCCACTTGAGATCATTCAGAAAATAAGATTTGGAAATGGCATTTTCATTGAGCATGCAGCAGACCTAGTAAGTATCAGTGCAACTTATTTATTACTCAGAACACTAAATCGGTTAGTGGGGATGTTAACTAATAGTTCAGGGTCCTGACTGAGGTAGGAGAGCTTGTAAAGACTACAGATAATTAAGATGATTTGCTGTGAAAGCCAGTTTCTTAATCTCTTCAAACTGTAGAGATTGATGTAAGTGATAAGAGTTTGTCTCATACTGAATTTCTGGTTAGGAGATATTTAAAGACTAGTCTGCAGCTTTTTACAAAATCCAGTGCACTCGCTGTAGCATGCCAAAAGCATCCTTATTGTTTGATTTGCATTAGTGCCTAGAGAATCCAGCACCTCACAGATCCATGCACTGAACAATACATAATAAAAAGATAGTCCCGGTCCCAGACCTGACACATTGACAATACAGGCAGATGTGAGGGAATGGCATGAAGAGTAACAATGAGATGACCTGGGTCAACTGGATAAACAGTGGCCACATTACAAGTGCATGCATATTGGGGTGGGGGCACATTGTAAATACTGTATTGGAACTGAGTTTTAAGGATGTGCGTGGGACAACTTGCATGATTTAAAGCTAAACATAAGCTTAGTTTAATGGTAGGTAGCCTGCTGGGCTTAGTGTTGGAATATTAGAAAGAAAACAATTGTACAGCGTCATCCGTTTTTAAAATTGCATACAAATACAGCTGAATATTTCTGTTCCTATTTATTCTTGACAAATCCAAAGAACCCATCTGCAAACTGTATGTGCTTGTTATCATTTCCATTGTTTGTTCTCTAAGCTGCTCTGTAATAAATAGCAGACTCCAGGATAGCAAAAGGCAGCTATTTTTTTTACATGCATACTAGTCTTATAAAGTAAGATGAGAGGCTAAAGTTACCAAGGGCAAGAAAAGGCTACAGACAGTGACTTTGCAAACAGCAATTAATACCTACAATAAAGGTGTGAAATAAATCACAGCAATTGCACACAAAATGTTGTGATTTTATTTTGATGAGTTAAAAGAAATTTTGAATTCCTCCTTTCTGTGTTTGCAAAAGGTCTTCAGAACATTAAAAATGTAGCTTCAACTGTGAAGTTTGTTACCTCTGCTATGACTTAAAGAGACTCGAGTAATGTTTAAATCTTAGGAAATCTGGAAGTAGTTGCTGAGGTCTTGATCCTATATTGGGACGTATTAGCATAGGTCCCCTGTCCTCCGGTAGAACATCTTTGGAGGTCAGTGAGGGTCTGCATTCAGTTCAGGACTGAGACCTTGCTACTGAAAAAAATATTCTGCTTTTATACTTACCATTCCTTAGGAATAATCCTTAGGAATGATAAGTAGAGTAACTGACCTTGTTTAACACACCATCTGTATAGGGAACAAGTGATTTAACTTTCCTAGCTTAAATAAGCTTGCTCATATATAAGTTGTATTAGTTAAAAAGTTGCTTGTGAGAAAATTACTATGTCATTTTATTTAATGCTCCATGGCATTTAAAGATACAGTTTAAAAAAAAAATCTAATTCCTTTAAAAATAGGGCCATTTTTCTACATCTGAGTCTTCTTAGAAGCATTCCCAGTAATTTGCTTATGGCCACCATTATGTTAATGAACTGTTATGAATAATTATTTAGCCTTTAACATATCTAGCTAAGATGATTGAGTTCCTTAAGTACTGTTTGCATGCCCTGGTAAACCCTTCCATATTCATGAGTAACATATCAGAACATAGCATGTTTTTGGAACAAAGCATCATCTTTCACTCAATGGGGAATGTAATTTATAATGTTCTCTAAGGGATAAAAGTACAGTTGTTAAAAATACTAGAACAGGAAATTTTTTCATGGCTTGGTGCAAACGTAAAAGCACAGGTGTTACTGTGACCTCTGTTCTAAATGACATGCTCACTCCATGCTGTTTAACCATGCAGTTGGTCCAGCCCATCATGCTTCCCTCTTGTGGGATATTGGTAAAGTCTTAAATATTAGAGGAAGTCTACATAACAGCAGATGAGAAAACAGGTTGTGATAAGAGATGGATAGCTCCTGAGCACCCCCAAAGGTAAAATGTTACACACATTGGCAAGGCAAGCAACTCCATGAAAAATTGTATCCATTGAAGTAGAAACCTGAATGGACAGCACAAATAAATGTGCCTATTGTGACAGTTGCTCCAAGTGTTGCTTCTCCTCCTGTCCCAAATGGGTCAACTGCTGCTATCTGCACCCTCTGTAAAGCTCTACTTGTTTCCTCAGGGAAAGGTAAGGAGCTAGTTAAAGAAATCCAGCTCAACTTCATTACCTGCCCCATAAAATGGAACAATCCTCATATTTAACGCAGTGATACATGAACAAATAACTGCACGGTAAAAAAGGCTGAGGTTTGCACAGCTGCTCTGTGGTATTCATCCATGTGCATTTTCTTCTTCCACTGTGATATGTGGCAGTAGCTTGGCCCTCAATAAAATCAAGGTAAGTGGCTATGAGTTAGCTAGGGACAGATGTTCAAAAAGCCTGAGCCTGAATTGATTCAATCTTTGCAGGTTAGTGTAGCCTGCAGAGATTGAACCAGGTTGCAAGTGGATAGATTTTATCTTTTCATTTCAGAAATGTGGACACATGGCTGCAGTGGCTCAGGCCAGAAGCCCAAGGGCACTAGAGCAGCCCTCCCTTCCCTTCCACAGGGAAGCTGAGCTGGGAGAGGGGAGGCATGGCCAGGCCCAGGCAGGCCTGAGTAAGACTGAGGAGGGGTTTAAACCCCAGCCTTGGCCTGCAGGGCTCGGGGGGTGGGGGAAGAGGGAGAACTCTGCCCACCTCAATGGCTTCCTGACAGTCAGGAGCAATCCCAGCACACAGCGCTGCCTGGCCCCTGAGGGCAACTCTTCCCCCTCCTCCCTCTCCCCCACTGCTATAGGGCAGGGAGGGGGGCACTGTTTGGTGCTGGGGGGGCTCTTCCCTCTCCCCCCCTGCTGCCATGGGGTGGGGAGGGGGACTCAGGGAGGCTGCCCAATCTCTGGACAGGGACTCTTTCCCCTGCTCCTCTCCCCCCGCCATGGAGTGGGGAGCTG